TCCTTGCACCTCCACTTGTTCTCGTGCAGCTCGTACACGTGGATGGCAGGCTCCACACACTCCATGGTGAATTTAGTGTTGTCAACCTGGGGTGGGACACGGAAACGCCACCTCAGTCTTCTCCTCAGCATCCCAAGAGATGAAATAAACCCAAAATTGTTTTTTAAAAACAGGGCATCTTACACCCACCCACTGTTTTACTCTCCAACTGCCAAATACAAGCTGCCAATGTCCTTTGGCACAGCAGTGAGGAGGAAAAGCCCTGTTTGTGACATTAAATACATGAATTTAAGTTGCATGAGGTGGGCTGCAGCCAGAAATTGCTGCCTGAACATGTAGAGAAGGCCTCCAGTCCCTCTGAGGTGGCAGAGAGCTCAGCACAGACTCTCTGTGGATTTACTCTGTACTTTGCTGCTCGTTGCATCTCCTCCCCAGAGCATTTTGGAGGGGAAGAGAAACAGAATTCCTCATGAAAGGAGCCAGAGAAGAGCATTTCCCTGGTCCAGCAGCAGGCTCAGAACACACAGGGGGCTGAGGGGAAGGAAGTTCTTTACCATGATGAGCGCAGTGTCCGTGAAACCCTCGGCAATCCGGGAGGCCACCTTCTCTGCAACCTGGTTTGGGCTGGAGCAGAAAGAAAAAGGAACTGAGTGATGGGAGCCACGAGTTTCAGCTGAAAGCAGCAGGAAATGAGCTCAGAGAGATGTGAGAGTGACTCTGGGTGCTTGCAAACAGGAACAAAATAAAGGAGCTGATGGCACAGCTGATATAAGGCTCTGCAGCAGCCACTGGAGCTCAGCTGGGTTTAGGAATGGCTTTGGACTGACACAGAATCAACATTTGGTGCCCTCATATCTTCTTCCCCCAAACCAAAGACCCTGCCCTGGCAGGCATTTGAAAAAGAAATGAGTTTTCTCCCCAGTCTGCACTGAAAACTTGTCAAAAATCAGAAAACCCTTGATAACCTTTCCCACGTTTCAAAGGTGACAATCTCTATGTGGTGCCATGACAATCTCTGTGTGGTGCCAGTTACCTTCAGAAATCAAACTAGACTTTTAAAAAACCATCAAGCCTGTGATATTCATTCAAACCCCAAAGAGAAAAACTGTAACCTCTCCTTAAAAATGTGTTCAGCAGATTTATAAGGAAAGGACAAATAATGCTTTTATTCCTGTTAGACACCATAGAGGTCACAAGTGTTCCTTAATAAACATAATTGAGTTTGAATATATATTAACAAATAACTGGAATCAGAGCATCATGGAATGGTTTGGGTTGGGAGAGACCATAAAGATCCTCTCATTCCATCCCTTGCCATGGGTGGGACACCTTCCACTATCCCAGGCTGCTCCAAACCCCATCCAACCTTGGACACTTCCAGGGATGGGGCGTAATACTTGAAACAAGTTGCTCTTATTCTAATTAGTCCCAATCCTGGATTTGTCCAACAGATAGAGGGGAAAACGTGGAATGCACAGATCTAAAATTAAACTGTGGCTCCACAGGAATGTCCCTTATTGTTTAGTGAGTAATCTGAGTCAGCCAGCAGGGAAAAAAAAAAAAGACTAATCCTGAGGAAAAGAAGTGATAAATAAGAGATATCACTGCCTGACTGAATTCATCTTCCACTTCTTTACCACCAGTAAAAAACCGCTTGGAAAAAACTCAGCGATGATGAAGAAATGTAGAAAGAATCAGGTCACTCCTGACTTTCTACAAGATCCTGGGAGCCGTCAGACTTTCCAAGATCCATCCTGCACGAGCAAACACTCTGCAGATTTTGGCTTTTTCCCTGACAACTGCAATTCAAGAAGCTGGCAGTGGTTCAAAGAGTGGCCTTTTATAGCAGCCACGGGAGGAGAGCAGGGATTCTGCAGAGCCTGGACTTGCTGCACCTGACCAAAGGCCCACGGGGACAATGTGGGAGCAGCTGAGAGTTGTCAGAGGGAATCACACACGCCTGATTTCTGGGCATGATTGCTGCTGGCAGAGTCCAAGGTACGAGCTAAAAGAGCAAACAGAAGGAAATATTGGCCCAACACACCTGGCATCTTTCACGCGTTCGTTCGCCTGGTAATATCCAGCTATCACGTAGCTGTTCTCCTTGCACCAGGAATCAATCTGGAAAAGCAACGGGAACAATAAATCCTAGGGGGAAAACCCTCCAGGATCAAGGAGAAAAAAGAAATTAAACAAGCCAGGATGAAGGAAATCTCGTGGCTGTCCTGTAAATAAAGCAGTGTTGCTCCATCTCTGCCACGGGGCTCTTGAAATAAATCCATATTTCTGTCTGGTTGTGGGAGTGCTCACAGTTGGGTTGATTGAGCTGGGATGGAGAAACCCAACAGAGCATTTGGAGATGATGGGAAGCATGAACCAAATGGAGCAAAAGAGCAAGGAGCTGTCTCAGTCAAAGGCTGGCCTAAATCCCAGTGACAGGACAATTAAACTCAGCCTGGTTTGGGTCTCACCCACCAATGGCTGGGACAATTTCCTGCCAAGGCACTCCAGGGAATGCTGCCCTCGTGGGTGTGTGGCTGCCCTGTCCTTGCAGAAAGGTTTTATTTCTAATGTCCCATTTCTAGGGGAAAATGCAACCATTTGGGGCCTTCAATAGAAAATAAAAGCTTGAGGTGAAAGGCGAATGTGAGGCAGAAATTTGTGCCATTTAGCAGCTTTTCAAATGAGATAAAATGATTTTCCTTTGAGAGATCTTCCTTATTTAACACCTCCATGTAAATGCTTAACCAGATGTACTTTTGGCATATAATTTAGACAATTTTTGATTTACACAAGTACAAAACAGGTAGTTTTGTTGGTTGTTGCATTTTAATTAAATGAATTTAAACACTGCTGTTCTTGCTGCTTTAAACTGGAGCTGAGTTCCTCCTGCTGAGTCTGGCTTTGAAAATATCTATCTATCTATCTATATATATATATATATATATATATACTATGGTGTATGTATGTATATATATACATATATATATACACACTGTGGTATCTATATATATGGTATCTATATATATCTATCTATATATATATATGATGTTTTTTATTAGAATTGAGGGTATCGAGTCAGCAAAATACAAAGACACAAGGGGAGGAAGCAGCTCGAGTTTTAATTTAGACAATTTTTGATCTACACAAGTACAAAACATAGGTAGTTTTGTTGGTTGTTGCATTTTAATTAAATGAATTTAAACACTGCTGTTCTTGCTGCTTTAAATTGGAGCTGAGTTCCTCCTGCTGAGTCTGGCTTTGAAAATATCTATCTATATATATACATGGTGTGTATATATATATATATATATATATATATATATATATNGGCCTCAAAAAACCCTCCCCAGCTCTATTAAAAAGGCCTCCAAAAATACATCTGGTGCTGACCTGTGGCATCCTGGGAGTCAAATCAATCTCATTTTCAGCAATAATTATTGTATTAGACTGCAGAACCAACCAAACAAAGCAGCCATGTGAATAATCCAAGGGATCACACGGATTTAAGTGACAAAAAAAAAAAGCTGTGCAGCCCTGCAAGAGCTGCTGTCTCAATTCCAAACCCATTTTGAGGGCTTAGGACTCTGGTTTTAATTGTGAGTGGTTTGAAAGCTTGGCATTAGAGCCAGCAGCCCAGGCAGTAAAAATATTATTAATAATAATAATCATTATTATTAAAAAAAACCCAACTCCATCCATTTGAAAATTAAAAACCACAGTCCTAAAGCCATTTTTGTTCCATACCAAAAATTGTCTTGAAAAGAAAGAAGAGAATGATTTTAAGTTCTCACTTTCCTAACTGGTAATTAAAAATTGCTTCGGCATAAAACAAAGGGGGGGAAAAAAAAAAAAATCTAATTTTGGAACAAAAGCTGTTTCCAGCTGTAATTTTCCAAGCACAGCACTGATCCTCAACAGGTATCACAGCAATTAGCTCCTGTGAGAAATAATTTTAATATTAGAAATATTTTCAATGTTAGAAGTATTTTCAATGTTAGAAATATTTTTAATATTAGAAATATTTTTAGTCACATCCAGTCCTGCCAAGGAAAAATCCAAAGTGGCTTTGGTTTGCTGCAGCCACCAGGGCTGGAAAACCCTGGGAGAAGGAGGAGAAAAAGGAAAAGGAGGAAAAAGAGGAAAAGGAGGTGGAGGAGGAGGAGCTGAGTGCCGTTCCAGGAGAGGGAAGTGCTCCTCGGTTTCCCCTTTTTGGAGCTGTGGTTGTAAAACCACATCAATTAGCAGAGAAATTCAGAGGCTCCAGTGCAACTTAATTCACTTTTTCTTCACAACTCCGGCTTGGGAAAGGATTTCAGAGTGCAAATTAAACCTGGCAGCTGCTGCTCTGCCCTCTGGAGCTCCAAATCCCAGGAAATCAGAGAATTCTGGAATATCCTGGGCTGGGAGGGACCCTCAAGGATCATCAATCCAAGCCCTGGCCCTGCACAGACACCCCAAAATCCTTCCCTGTGCCTGGCAGCGCTGTCCAAACTCTCCTGGAGCTCTGGAGCCTTGGGAATGTGAACATTCCCTGGGGAATTCAGTGCCCAACCACCCTCTGGAGGTGTTGGTGTGGGGTTTTTCATCCCTTGTACCCCCTGAAAGTTTCAGGAGGCAAAGCCTTGAAGTTTGGAAGTATCTCCTCTATTCCCAGATGAAATCTGGAGATTTTTTTTGCTCCCATCCCATTCTGGGAGGACTCAGGGCAGGGGAGAGGAGGTGGAACTTGTGGGGTTGGTTCCAAAACCCCTCCCACAGGGCCACCCTCGACCAAGAATCAGCAAAAACTGAACGTGGAAAGAAGCAGATCCCATTAAATCCTGCCACAGCTCTGAAATCCTTTAGGAATGAGGCTGCTTTGCTACAAAAATGGAGTTTAAGCACCCTGATCTCCCAGATTTATTCTGGATCCACAGACCAACTTCTACAGAAGATGTGGAACCGCCTCCTCCCAAGCTTTTCCGTGAGGAAATCCAATTTTCACAGCTGCTCTGACAGGATTTACTGACACCTCTGCTTTTGTTTAAACCCAAAACAGCAGCAAAAGGCCCTGGGCTCTTGTAAAATTCTGTTTTTTAAAGGATCACAGCAGTGGCTGTAACCATTCAGAGCCCTAATTATTGTGGGAAAAACCAAGAATTTCCAATCTTTGCATTTCTGTACCAAAAACTGGGAGTAAATAAATAAAATCCTGCCATTCCTTTGGCTCTGGGATAATTTTTTTCCTGCAGATGTTGCAAGAAACAGGATTTATTTCCTAATAATCTGATCCTGCTCCAAGATCTAGACTAAAAAGCTGCACTGAAGGCCTAAAGTTCACCAAAATCCAGTGGAAAGACATTTAATCGTGAATTAATGAAAGCACACAGTGCTCTGCTACTCCTACACTGCTGTAAATAGATTTTAAATGATAAATTTTGGGTGGTTTATGGTAAAACAAACGGTTCAGGGCTCAGGCTCAGCTCCTGTCCTGCGCCTCTGGCTGCATTTCATCATTTCCAGGCTCCACAAAGATGTCAACATTGCCACAGCTGGGAAAAACCTGGAATTTATTTAGGAATAACTGGGATTTGCTTCCAAATAAAATCTGTACCGGAATGAAAAGCACTGAGGAAAACGTTAAAGACGAGTCTGGAGGAACCAGAAATTTACTGTTTTTAATGGCATCAAGAAGGGACGGAGCTTCTTTTGCTCACAGTGATGGGATGGTTTGGGTTGGAGGGGATTTTGGCTCATCCCATTCCATCTTCCACCATCCCAGGCTGCTCCAAGCTCCGTCCAGCCTGGCCCTGGGCACTGCCAGGGACTGTTTGTCCCCAGGGAAGGCTGTGTTCCCCTTTCCTGCTGAGGTGCCCAGAGCAAATGCTGCTTCCCTGGCTGAAAATCTGCCGGATTCGGGGCAGGAATTCAAGGTAATTCCTTTTTAAACGTCAGGGGGAGGAAATCTTGGGGAATTCATTTCTTGCTGAGAGCTGGGGAGGCAGCACTGGCAATGTGTCTTACTCTTCTTGGTTTGTTAGCAATTCATGACTTCCAGGATTAACTTTTTTCCTCCCTATCCACCAAAATTTAGAGATTTGGCATTTCCCTGCCTGGATATTTTAACTCCCAACTTTTTACCTCATCCACACGACCTGAAGCACATGGAAAAAAGAATCCCTGAATGGTTTGGGTGGGAAAGGATCTTAAAATCATCCCATTGCATGGCAGGGAAACCTTCCAACATCCCAGACTGCTCCCAGCCTGGCTTTGGGCACTGCCAGGGGTCCAGGGGAACCACAGCTGCTCTGGCACCTGTGCCAGGACCTGCCCACCCTCCCAGGGAGGAATTCCTTCCCAAAATCCCATCTAAATGCACCCTCTGGCAGTGGGAGCCATTCCCTGTGTCCCATCCCTCCATCCTTGTCCCCAGTCCCTCTCCAGCTCTCCTGGAGCCCCTTCAGGCCCTGGCAGGGCTCTGAGCTCTCCCTGGAGCTGCTCCTCTCCAGGTGGGTATTCCCACCTCCCCCCCAAATTTTGGAGCATTTCCATTCCCAGCACCACGCCAACACCTCCCTGGACCCCCAAAAAACCCCCTGGCAGCAGTGCATCCCTCATCCCCGCTGTAACACCGCCCTGCACTCCCAAAAAACACCTTCCAGCAGCATGGCATCCCTGATCCCCATGACATCTCCCTGCACCCCCAAAAAAACACTGCCAGCATCCCTGATCCCCGGGGCAGCACCTCCCTGCACTCCGCAAAAAAATTGCATCCCTCATCCCCGCGCCAACACCTCCCTGCACCCCCAAAAAAACCGCTGCCAGGATCACGGCATCCCTCATCCCCGGGGCAAAACCTCCCTGCACCCCCAAAAAACCCCAGAAACATCGTAGCCCTCATTCCCGGGGCAAAACCTCCCTGCACCCCCCAAAAAGACCCCCAGCCAGCATCCCTGATCCCCGGGGCAGCACCTCCCCGCACCCCCAAAAACTCCCCTGGCAGAATCGCATCCCTCATCCCTGCCCCAACACCTCCCTGCACCCCCTAAAAAAATCCCCTGCCAGCGTCCCTCATCCCCGATCCCTGCCCCAACACCTCCCTGCACCCCCAAACCCCCCCGGCAACATCGCATCCCTCATCCCCGCGCCAACACCTCCCTGCACCCCCCCAAAAAAGACCCCCAGCCAGCATCCCTGATCCCCGGGAAGCTCCGCACCAGGGTCAGCGCCACCTCCAGCATGGGGGCGAGCGCCAGCGTGCCGTGGAACAGCGGGATGCAATCCACCAGCAGCGCGGGCTGCGGCGCCGGCGGCCGCTCGGCCACCAGCAGCCCGTTCACGGCGCAGTGCGGGTACTTGGCGCCGTGCAGCAGCATCTTGCAGTAAGCCTGAGTGGTCAGCTTCATGGTGCCCGGCCCGGCGTGCTGCCGGTGTCCCGGTTCGGCCCCGGTTCGGCCCCGCTGTCCCGGCACGGTTCGGTCCCGGCGCGGCCCTGCCGTCAAGCGCCGCCGGTGTCGGGACGTGCCGCCAAGCGCGGCCGGCTTTGCGACAGTGGGGTGTGGGGTGGGGGGGGTGTGAATTTGGGATGGTTTTTTTGGGGGGTTTTGGGGTGGGTTTGGGGTCCCACAATGAGGGAGGGTCCCAGAGTTGGTGGGGTGGATGGGGTGGATTTGGGGTGGTTATTGAGGTGGGTCTGGGGTGGGTTT